TCTATCTATCTATCTATCTATCTATCTATCTATCTATCTATCTATCTATCTATCTATCTATCTTGAATTATACATTTTATCTATTGCCACTAATTATTTCTGGCTGATACTAAAGTATTTTGTTGGCCCCAGTTATTTAAAAAAAAAGCTGTTTACCCATCTGCTAACAGGTTGGAAGTGATTAAGAGAAATTTGTTTTGGCTGTTTTAAAAGCCAAATTGGTTCTGAGTTGAAAATATGTGTCTAAACCAATTGAAGGAGTTGCCAAGTTCAAAATCAGATGTATGCTTCTTTTGAACCCAATCCCCTACCAAGTTAAATTATCTCAAAGCAAGTATTCTATTTCCTCTAACATGTCCAAATTATTCTGCCCAAATTTAGTTCTTGTGTAATGGCAATTTGCCTTTGGCTGAAGTACTAATCAACAGAGCCAAGAGCCAGCTGCTTAATGCATAGTGACCTTGAAGCAGAATGTGTTATGTTCATTGATACCATAAGACCCTACTTTTGGTGGTTGTTTTTTTAACTATGTCTTTTCCTGCCTCTTTTTTTTTGTCAAAAGTGGCTTCAAGATAATGGACAACAGGGGCAGAACATGAATTTGGATGCATAAAAACTCCATTCCCTACTAGAACTAATGATGGATCATGTTGCCTATTTTACTAATGAAATTTCTGCAAGAAAACAGCAAAGTTCAGAGAGCATCAAGGACCCCACAGTTCAACCTTGAGCTACAGATATTCTTTTATGTGTCTCACTTCCCTGCTGCTCATAACTTTAATATTAGATACACTAGTTAATGACTAACTATAAATATGCTGCCCATTATTCTAAAAAAAAAGTAAAAGAAAATCATTCTTGATATGAATGTTATGACTACACATGGAACAAGTTGTCATTTGCTGAGATGTACAGCTATTAAGAGCCAGACAAATGGCATAGAATATTTATATTGTTCTATTAAAGATGGAAGACGGTACCATTTTACTGGAAATTCTATGAAGTACTAACTTTAGTGATTAAGTATCTTTGAACTTCAACAGGTGAAAGGATGATCACTGAAAGCATATTAATCCATTGAGGATTAGCAGCAAACTGTTAGAGATTTCCAACAGATAATAGGTGATTTATTTATGAACTGCAGTTGGATAGCAAAAATGCATATACATTTGTGCTAAATATAATGCAATATTCAGAACAGTAAGACTGAAATAGATAGTGAAGGGATGGGAGAGTCTATGAAACATATGCTATATATCTTTCTTGCTGCTTGTAGGTAGTCCAGCCTTTTATAAGAAGATCATGTAGACTGCCAGATTTTAATAAAGTTTGTACATATGGTATCTGTCTTCTCTTATCCCCTCTCCCAGTGTCCCTTAGCTAACAATAGAGATTCAATAAAATGTGACATTGCATATTTTTTTTAAAAAATATGGGGATTTAGATTCTAATATAATTTTATGATTATGACCCCCTGTCCTCAGTCCTAGCCTTCCTCAATTCAGGGAATTAAAATACAGGTGCTGAAAGTGAGTATTTCAAAATTGGCAAACCGATTCCATTCAGACACTTTAAACAAGTAAGTCTCATCCAATGTTTCCTTTTTAAAGAAGGTTGTTGAGAATATGGTAGGCTTGCAGCTTCAAAGAGGTTTGGATCCTGTTTAAAATACACATAAAATCATTGCATGAAATCTTTTGACAGCATGAGGTCAATTACCAGAAATATGGTAATGATATTCAGTTATACTTTTTTGCCCTGGGCCATCCTAGTGGTACTGTAAAGATGCTTTCCCAGTATTCAGGGGTGGGCTTCAAAAATTTTAGCAAAGGGTTCTCTGCCCAGTTGTTGGGTGGATATGGCCATGGTGGGCGTGGCCTAGTTGGCCTCCTGAACCATGGTGGGAAGGGCATTTTTTAATCTCCCTGGGCTCCAGAGACTTTCCTTGAGCCTCCGGGAGGGCAAAAGGGGCCTCCCTGGGCTCCGGAGGCTTTCTGGAAGCCAGAAACAGGCCCATTTCCAGCCTTCCCAAACTTCTGGGAGGCCCGTTTTTTGCCCTCCCTGAGGCTTTGTGCATACCCTGTACTTACCTGCATCCAAGGCAGACCACGCGGGGAGTCCTAGGAGGGGTGGGGTGAGCAGAGCCAGCCAGGAGTGGGATTTAGGGGTTCTCCAAACTGTACAGAATCTTAGCTAGGGACTCCCCCGAACTCCTGTGAACCCCCCCAGCAGCCCACCCCTGGATGTACTGGTATGAGTGGAGAAGAATCACTTCAATCTGACAAAACTGAGTGCCTGTAGAATTTAGAACATCCTGCATTTAATGATTTTTACAGCTCCCAATTCAAGCTACAGGTAGTCATTGACTTACCACCATTCATTTAGTAATCATTCAAAGTTACAATGGGACTGAAAAATACTGACTTACAATAAGACCTCACAATTATGACTGTCACAGCTACCCCACAGTCACATGATCAAAATTCAGATGCTTGGCAACAGCGTAGATTTACAATGGTTGCAGGGTCCCAAGGTCATGTGATTGACATTGACCTTCCCAGCCAGCTTCTGACAAGCAAAGTCAATGTGAGAAGCCAGATTTGTTAACTGCAATGATTCACTTAGGAAAAATATTTGTAAAATTGGGCATCTCACTTAACAACGACCTTGCATAGCAATAAAAATTAGGGTCCCAATTAAGGCCAGGACTATCTGTAAGCTATAACCCATCCTGGATAATAATGACACTGCACTTTCTCAAGCTCAAGCTAGCAGGCTCACCATTTCATATGTTCAGCCACCCAACCTGGAGTAGATTTACACAAAATCACAATAGAAAAAAAAATGCACCAATAATACTAACATGGGACTCTCAAACAAAGCCAGATATCTATTTTTCATCATGTTTACACCAACAGCATCATCACAAGCCTCAACAATTTCACACTAAGTTTAGAAACATTTTCCCATGTCCTTCCCTCACGTGATGTATGCCATCATTTGTCACCAGTGCCCTCTGAATGTTCTGTAGGACAAACAGATCAGACTTTGCACAAAATAATTAATGGACAAGTTTGACATCAGGACTCAAAACAAGGTCAAATTCATATCAGAGTATTTTAACATCCCAGGACACCACTACAAATCTCAAAGTAGCTATTTGGAACAAAGAATCTTTACCAGCAAAATTAAATGAGAGGCTGCTGAATTCACATATATCAAAAGCTTTCAATATCACAGAAGTCTCAGCAAACGGTGTTGTTTTTTTTACAACATTGCATAATATACTGGTCTATGACAGTAATAAAAACTTGATTTGATTTGAACATGTTACATTTGTTAATTAATAATGTACTTACAATTTGTCTCACGTGTAATTTACACCTGCATTACCACTGATTTCCTCCCCTCTTTTAACTTTCCAGTTTATCTCAGTTTAAATCTTACATCAGTTTTGCCATCCACTCAGCTGTTACAATGAGTTGTAGTTCACAGAACCTTATGCCTTTTAATCAAATGTATTAGTCTGAAACGATGCTGTCAGGCACATTTGGATTTTGGCTAGCATAAGCTGATCCAGCTCTTCTCTACAATATCTCCAATCAATATGGACAAGCTGGCTAGAGCTGCCGTATACAAAATAGTTGCCCAATACATCTCAGCCAACATGATCAAATTCAATACAAATTAATTTAAGAAACTCATTATCCTAGGACTAAACTATATATTGACACAACCTATAAATAATATATGCCATCAGGTGAATTGATATAGTTTGGCTTAATATGAACCCTACTGTTGACAGTTTAAGTGGATTATACAGAAACTGCATTACACCTAGCATCGCGTTTATCATGCTTGGGACTGGACATGCTTCCATCTTAACAAAACTAGTCAATTGTGTAACATTATATAGATAGATATAGATATATAGATATGGTTTTTAAATATTTTATGTTACATTGTACAGTGATACCTCAGTACTCAACTGCTTTGAAACTCATTGAATTTGATTCTTTGATGCATTTTGACATGGAAATTTGTCCCAGTACACATCATTGTTTGGTGTTCGATGCACAAGCTAGAATTTGTTGATGTCAGCAGCCTTATGACCCACTACATTTTTCCTTATGGGAAAAATTTGTTTGGTACCCATCTTTTTTTGTATCTATTGCACCTCCTGAAAAAGTACTAAGATACCACTGTATTATAGTCTTTCTTTTTTATCTTATCTTATACTAGCTCGATACACATCCTTCACTACGAATCTGTGTGGTCAGGCTTAGTTTTGGGAGAAGAAAATAAGGGGAGGAAATTCTGCCTCTGCCGACCAGAATCCATTGGTAGGCTAGCGTCCTATCAGTGTGTGAAAGAGTTGAGAGATGTTTGGAAACTGAAACAGTATTTTCTATGTGAGCAAGAAGGAGACAGCAAGGAGCCTGGGCGTGGCTTAGTCAACTGTTCTGTACTAAAGCTGGTTGCTGCTGTGAAATTAAAACTAAAACTAAAACTCCTCTCCTCTGCTTGTGTTTTGCATTTGGAAGAGATTTCTTTTCAGGTAGCAAGGGGGAGTAGAATTCCATAGCATCAGAGTGTGTTAATAATAATATATGAAAAACAAATGTTCTGATGGTCATTTTGAAAAATCCTTTCTTAGTGAGTACCTAGAAGCCAAGAGGAATGTTTCAAGTTTGTAGGCTTTACGATTCTGGATATTTTGTGATGATGCATGAGTGGTATTTTGCTTTTATATATATATCGATTCTTTTGGAGGATTGTGTGCAATTCTGGACTACAGAGTTTGAAGGGTATCAGCAATCTAGAGAGCATCCAATCTGGTAATGAGTCCAAAACCCAAATCAGTGAAAAATACAGCTGGATATGTTTAAAAATAAAGAAGGTTAATGGGAAGTATGAGTGCTGCCTTTAACCATCTGAGGGATTGTCAGTTAGCAGATGGAACAGTTTTCATAGAATTGTAGAATTAGAAAAGGCGCAGAGGCCATCAAATCCAATCCACTGCTTCATGCAGGAACTGAAATTAAATTGTTCCTGGCAGATGGCTGTCCGCATCCAATCTCTCACTAAATACATCAGGGAAGAATAAGAATCCAGTCCACTCTGGATAAATGTCTCTACTATCAAATTTGATAAAGGAAGTCCATCTTGAATTGAATCTGTCTTGTAACTCATCTGTTATTCTATGTCAAGGGTCTTCAAACTTGGCAAGTTTAACACTTGTGGACTTCAACTCCCAGAATTCCTGAGCTAACATGACTGGAGGAGGAATTCTGGGAGGTGAAGTCCACAAGTCTTAAAGCTGTCAAGTTTGAAGACCCCTGTTCTATGTCCTACATTTTGTCACGTGGATGTGGTGGCTTAGCAATTAAGATGCTGGGCTTGTTAATCACAGTTCAAGATGCAAGCACCATGTGATGGGGTGAGTTCCTGTTCCTGCCCCAGCTCCTGCCAACTAGTCTTTTGAAAGCATGCAAAGGTTAGTAGATGCCACTTCAGTGGGAAGATAAACTTGTTCCATGCCCCTCAGCTCATGCCAGTCACATGACCTTGGAAGTGTCCTTGGACAATGCTAGCTCCCTCGGTTAAGAAACAGAAGTGAACATCCCCTCTACAGGCGGGCATGGCTGGACAGGGAAAATCTTTACTTTTACATTCTGTGACAACATTAAATAGACCTTGATCTGCTGTATGGCCTTCTTTTAGTATTTTTCTGCTGTATATGTAGAGCCAGTTTGGTGTAGCGGTTAAGGTATCAGGCTAGAATCAAGAACCCATGAGTTCTAATCCCACCTTGGCACAGGGGTGGGATTCTGTTATGATTCTGTGCAGTTCGGAGAACTGGCAAATCATGCCCTTAGCCCCACCCCTCCCCACCCCACCCAGACAGTCCTTATCACGCAGACACGACATTGTGTGCATGCCCAACATCACTGACTGTGGTCTCTCCTGCCCACTCACTCCTTAAGATATTTCTTTTACACCCTCCCAACGATCAGCTGTTCCAATGATCAGCTGTGCCTGGATCCCCCTCGCTGTCTTACTGCTTCACCCAGGAGGCTTCCCTGAGGCCCAGGAGGAAAAAGGGGATGCGCAGAAGGGTGCTGTGCTGCCCCCCACTCAGTCTTTTTGTTTTCCTGGGCTCCGGGGGAAGTTTTCTGGGAGCAAAAATGTCCCCCAGGAGGCTTGCCTGAGGCCCAGGAGGCAAAAAAAAACCAGGAGGGGGTGCTGCAAAAAAAGCCAAGCCCACCCAGTCACATGGCCACGCCCACCTAGCCACGCCCATAAAACTGGTTGTTAAACAATTTGAATCCCACCTCTACTTAGGCACAAAGCCAACTGGATGACCTTGGCCAGTCACTTTCTCCAGGCCTAGGAAGGAGGTAAGGAAAACACCACCTCTGAAAAACCTTACCAAGAAAACTGCAGGGACCTGACCAAGAATTGGATGCAATTGGAGGGAAGAAAAGAAAATGCAGAACCCATAATTTAGTGTATTATGTAAACAGCTGAATTAAATCACATCGTACATCTTCACATATATCTGTGCTTTTCAAAGTTGGGGAGAATAATCTAAGTAACAAAACATACTGTTTTCAACAAATAATACCTGGGAGACTTCCTTTGATGTTTCTGTGAACCACTCTGTTGTTTCTCTATTTTGTAACTTTGTAGCAGCAACATCTAAGGAAAACAAGTGATGTTAAATGTACTACGAAGCAGGAAGTGATACTACTGAATTGATTTTTCATTTTCATTATTATTGTTATCATTAGCACTGCTATGTCAAGGATACCTAGCTTATTGACAAATAAGTGTTCTGGGTATGATAACCAATAGAGTGGCCCTTATCAGAAGATTTTTTTTTATTTATTTTTTTGCATATGGTATGTGTTAGCCAGGAATCACCGAGGTGGCTTCCTGCCTCTGTGAAAGGAATTTTTTCGAGAGGTATTATCTTTACCTGTGGGATGCCTGAATGCTGGTAGGCATTCGGGGCAGGATCCTTTCTTGTTCCTATGCATTTTATTCACTCATGGGAATCAAGCCGCCGACCTCAGTGGTGTGCAGGCCCACCGTCTTACCACATGAGGCACCGTGCCCCCCCTATCAGAAGATTGATTCAATCTTTGAAGCCAAGCATTCAAAGTGTGGTAGGAAATGTAATTCCTAACTCTCAATTTTAAGGAAAATGTGGAATTATACTGATGAGTCAGACATGGTTTAAATAGAGTTACTTCCATAGCTAACAAACTATGGTGTGTCTTCTTTAGAAAAGAAAGAGCAAAGAAGAAATGGTTTGCAATTTTTCATAATAATTGTGGGTAATCTTCAGCTAATACCAAAAAATATTCAGTAATATATAGGGTCCTCGTATGAGGACTCCAACTGCATCTTTCTGTTTCCACAGTTTAAAATGCAGCAAGAAATATGTAACTGCCCACACTTAAGATTAGGAAGTATTACCAGAAATTAAAGAAGAAATGAAAGAACAATTACATCAGCACTTTTTAAGGTTTCACCTGCAATAATTGCAAAAATAGAATATGATCCAAGTATATACTACATTATCAATCATTTACTCCATTTAAAATTATTCTAAACAAAGCTATGTACAGCACTTATCTAAATAAACCTTAATGAATAGCTTTTCAGATCTGAGTGATTAGATTCTATTTTCAGGTATCAGCTAGAAGATTACAACTCAAGAGATAACCTTTTAAATGCTTAATAGCAAAGTTCAGTATATTAACTGATTTTTTTTTTACAGAAGATATGCTGTTATCTCTTAAACTGAGCTTATTTAAACAATTGCTTAAGCACTCAAAGTTAACTATCCACTCTAAATTAGATAACCCCTTAATCAAATATCACAGCATTGGCAAGTACTTTTCAAATCATGCATTAATAGAATACGGTATTTGGATTTTTTTCCCCAGGGAAATGGTAATCCCCATTACAAATGTTCACACTGATGCAATTGTAGTAACCATTAAGAAACTGAAATTCCAAATGCATCAACTATTATTGATTTGGGAATTGGAAACACTGAGGTGTATTGTCAATAATTATATGTGAATTCAATTTTTATAACTAAATAAATCAAATGTATCATAATATCCGTATGAACACTTATAGCAGATGTACATCCTCTTACAAAGAAAGGAACATGGGAAATAAGAATTAAAATAATTCCACGATTATCAGGTTGGGAGTAACCCTGGGAGATTGTTCCCAGTGAATTTATTATGGGATAAACTAATATAAATAAAATTAGTCCATTGTTTATCCTTTCGCAGTGGAAAAATCTGTCCATTATGGACAGAGGGGGAATTAATCTTTGTTTTTAATATACAGATGGAGCTTCAAGATATGGAACTTTAACATCCTTAATTCTGGATGGCATTGCACTAAGCCAGACAGACCCAGTCTTCAACTCAATGGTTCACAACTGGACTCACAACTCCTGCTCAAAGAGCAGGTGGTAATCATGGCTAGGAGAACCTTTGCAAAGAGCCTTTTTTGCCCTTTGGAATATCTTACCCCCTTCTGATTTTTTGATCCCTGAAAACCTGGCTCCGCCAGTTGGCTTGGGGCCCCAATGAGGGACTATCACAATGATGGCAAACCTTTCTGGCACCAAGTGCCCAAACCAGAACACACCTGCATGCACATGCATGTGTGTATGCCAGAGCTCCAGAAACCTGAAGACCAGCCTGCTTTTTGGCCGTTTTGGGAGGCTGTTTTCAGGCTGTTTTTTAGGCCTGAAAAACAGCCTGGGGTTTTTTGTTTGTTTGTTTTTTGGGGTCATTTTCAGGCACTGTGGTGCCCACAAAGACCAACTGGCCGGTGCGCCTGAAACCAGAAAAGCAGCTGGTGATGGTCCCTGTGCCCACAGAGTGGGCTCTGCATGCCACTTCTGGCACACGTGCCATAGATTCGCCATCATGGGACTATCATGGATGGTTGATGGATTAAGATAAAATCCCAGCTCCCTGCTGTATGTATTTTTCATTAGATAAGATGAAGAAGTTATTCCTTAGGTCTTGGAAGAAGAAACCTTGAAAGCTGAAACTATTAATTTCTGAGTATTTTGTCTTCAAAACTTAAATAAATCTGTCCAATCTGGATTCTCCCAAGTTTTCTTTTTCTTAGTAATCAACCGGTAATTATTTCTGGAAGAGTTAATATGTCTATCTGATTTTTCTTTATTCCATTAGGAAGAACTTAGATGTTTCACCTACAAATGGAACTTGAGTCATAATTGTTTTTATATTTTCAGAAATGAGAGAAACAATTTATTTATTTTTCTCCTTAGTCTAGAGTTTTTCCTGAACCCTTTGGATGACAAGAGAGTAATGTCAGGTATTACAACAGACAATGTTGTAAATCTCAGCTCTTCAGACATTTAACCCCTTAGTTGGGGATTGATTTATCTGGCCCCAGGTGTGATTCCGAAAGATTAGTCCCTTTACTGTCAATTAGAATGAAATTATGAATGCAGAAAATCAATTTACTCTGGACTATAAAAGTCTAAGCATATACAGACCTAATTCTAGAATTTTATTTTTCTTCCAATTCTGAGTTAATGGATGCTTGGCTATCCTCTTGATGGCCTTCATAGGCACTCATCTGATCTATATTGACACAATGATTCTTTTAAGTTTGAAAACTATTGATTCCTTCCTCACCAGTTTTCTTCCTTGCAGCTAGCACAAATTAGCTAGCAACAACTTCTGGTAATTAACAAGTGCCAAGGTGAAATAGAAAATTATCGGCGATGTGCATTATCACATCACAATTCATTATATAATATCAATGACAATGTGCTTCACAGAAAATTCACATTTTTATTCAATCACATCACCAGTTATGACAGCAGGAGCCATACCTGCATATCAACAATCCAAGGGAGATTTCTTAGAACTATCATAGCTGCAGCTGGTTGTAACTAACTGAATATTTATGGTCTGTGGATGATTAAATGCATATGTTCTTATTTTAACACTGGCTCATAAACTTCATAAATTTCTAAAATTATTAATGGAGATATTGCTGTAATTCAGAATTTCTGTTATATACAACAACCTTCAAGAATATGGTAGAAATGTTTCCCACTAAGTACTTAAACCAACTACTTAAACTAGTGCATGAATAATTGCCCACTTCTTTAAACTTGGCAGGAGCCAGAAAGCTAGTGAATTCTGTAATCTTTATTTTTTGTGCGTACTTCTTTCTTAAAGCTATTTTCCCCACTAAAAAAACCACATGTTCACATTTAACTCCTACCAAGCCAGGCTAATATGGCCTGACATTGTTACACCATAACCACTGGGGATTAAGTCTGAAATTTTCTTTGTTCTGCCACTAGGAAGCTCGATCCAGCCATAGCTTTTAGGTTGTAAATATTTCTACATTTTAAAATAATGTAGGTAAGATCATACAGATTTCTTCTTTCTTTAAGATAAATTTTTAAGATTTAATGAAGTATTGTTATATAGGAAAATAGAAAGTTACAGAGTGAATTTCCTTAAGTGGCATCTACATTCATCTATCTTACATACCTCCCTGGATCTTTTCCTTCTCGTTATTTCCTTTAATCTTGCTTGATGTTCTTCTTTGCTGAGCATCGTATATGGAACTGTGGTATCTGATATCACTATTCCTCTCCAGTCTTGATATAAGTTTCCTATTGAAAAAATCAATTTAGTTTGCATCACTAAAACAACTCCAGCAGTTTCTGAATCAACATACTGAACATATTCAAGAAGACATTCAAAAGCAAAGCATGCATAGAAGACACCATTTTCATGATAACAATGTATGACGTTTCCAAACCTTTGGTCTAAAAATTATGTTCAGTTCCTCTTTTTCACTAATGGTCTAGGAATAACAGCACCCCCCCCCCCCCCCCCCCCCAAAAAAGAATGCTGGACTTGTGTCTTTAAAGAAATACAATATTCAGCATTAGCAAGTGAAAATTTTCCTGTGGATTTTCATTAATCACCACTAAAACTTTTGGTAAACATACTCTTTACCTTCTATATAATAACCAAAATAAATACATTCTTACTATCCCTTATCTATAGATTTTATTTCTAGATGCAGAAACAAATATGTTTATCTTGTTATCAAACAGCTTCCCCAAAAATCCAGGCTTAAAATTAATTTCTTGCAAGGCAAATAAAAAAGAAATGGGTAGAAATTACAGCATGCATTCTGGCTCCAAATCAAGATAACAAAGAAGGTTCTTGCTAATGAACAAACAGCTGGCAGAGGAGTCATTAGAATTAAGGAACAAATATCATAGCTATGGGAAAGACAGCCTATCTTTTCTAAATGGCTTTAAATCAGGGGTGTCAAACTCGTGGCCCATGGGCCAAATGTGTCACATGCTGGTCCCGCCCTCATCTGGTTTACCAAAAGGGGAAAAGTCCCATTATGTCATGTGACACCACTATGATGACATGAGTTTGACATCCCTGCTTAAAATAATTCCTATAGCAACTTCCAATTTCTTTGGAAAAGAAAACCAGATACTGAAATATGATAAAATAAAATTTCTTCCATTCCCCATGCAATTATATGAAGAATTGAAAAATGTTAACTGCAAAAGCCAAGTCACAATCTATGTTCCTGGATTATACAGTACCTGGAGGGTTTTTTAAAATAAAACTTATTTATCAACTTACAGTATTCAGATCAGTGGTGGGATTCAAATTATTTTACTACTGGTTCTGTGGGCGTGGCTTAGTGGGCATGGCAGGGGAAGGATACTGTAAAATCTCCAGTCAGAGGTGGGATTTGCCGGTTCTCTGAACTACTCAAAATTTACATACTGGTTCTCCAGAACTGGTCAGAAACTGCTGAATACCACCTCTGATTCAGATGAATATTAATTTGAAAATAAAAATAAATACAGTAGAAAATAGGAGCCATGTTTACCCTTTTCCTCCCACTCTATTTGACTTTTGTCTAGTAAATAAAGGTCTGAAGGCAAATTTTCTTGAATAGTATGGATTTCTGAGTAAGTTAGATCCTACTTTATTAGTTCAGCTCATCATATGATCTCTGATCATGTGATGAGCTGAACACAAACTGAAGCCAAATTGGGCTTAGCAGCATTTTAAATCTCTGGTTGACACATGGAGCTTGAGAGAGGCAGGTATGAAATTGTCATGTGCAGCCTCTTCTCTAACTATTTTCAAGTTATCTCACTCTAGAGAGATAGAAAGTAATATTAAAACAACAAACTTTAACCCAAATTCAGCAGCAACAATTCCAGATGGTAGTCTTAGCTCCAGAATTATCAATAGCAAAAAAAAAAACCCAAAAACAAAAGAGGCAGAAATAGTATCAAGAAAGTGCATCTAAATAAAGCCACACAGACTTAACAGATTAGGTTTGTTACACTTCCTGTAACAATAAATTATGTGTTGAAGGTGATATAAAATAACTGATTTAGTTTCCCTTTGTTCTGCATTTACAAGGCTGCAGAAGGCTCCATAGTCACTGGACAAAGCCTTATTATATGCAGGTAATTTTGCATGAAAAGAAATAGTCCTTGAGGATTTACCTATGGTCTTGATTACAAAAGCTTGAATTAAAGCCAAAATTTAGAAAGAAAGTCTTTGTTTTGAGCTCTAGTCCAGAGTTCTCCAACCTTTCCAGCTTTGTGGACCAGTGGTAGGAAGAAGAGGGGTTGGTTCCATGCAAGCAGCTGGCAAGCGCACGCATGCACACACATCCATTTGTACTTGCCCATTGCTCACGCAAGTGGGGATCTGCAGCCCAGTTGAAAAAAACCTCACTGCCCACTAATGGGCCACGGCCCAGAGGCTAGAGACCTCTGTTCTAATCAATATGAACTGAAAATGCCAGTACTTATCTCTTCCCACATGGCTATATCCATGTTGCTTGTATCTTTACAACTTATATTGTTTTTATTGTTTCCTAGTATGATTTGATTACTTATTAGTATCCTATGACTATCACTACGTTTTGTATCTTATGATTCTTGACGAATATATTTTATTTTTTCTTTATGTACACTGAGAGCATATGCACCAAAGACAAATTCCTTGTGTGTCCAATCACACTTGGCCAATAAAGAATTCTATTCCATTCCATTCTATTCTATTCTATTCTAAAATATAAAATCCTACAAATAACTCATAACACCCAACAAATGTTTGCCTCCAAAACTTAGTTGTGGTATACAAGTCATTTCATATTTACAGAAATTACCACTTTTTAATTTTATGTATGTTATATAATTTCCTAGTCGAGTAAGTATCACAGTGCATATCATATAATTACTTGACAAATATTCATTTTTATACTCCCTATGTAAAAAAATGTGGGGCTATAAAAAAGGGAGCAAAAGTGTATTTCACAGCTTCATAAAGTCAATCAAAACTTCTTTTATAGTTCTGTGAGAGAGTGTCAGGTGTGTCCCAACTTGGTCCCTTAGGAAAGAATGACCCTCGATTCCACTGATGAAATGAAAGGTTTACTTTTACTAAGTTCAAGTGGTTACAACATAAACAAAGCTGTATCTGAATATTCCTGCACAAAGCTTGCATTTCCCCCCCATTCTCTAGCCCTCCCACATTGACCAGTCCATCAATGTCCAATTATATTCATTTTTGATGTTTCAGGAACGGTTTTGAGGTTTGGCTCCTCTTTGGAGTGGTTTCACATTCCATTTTTAGGCTCCATCCTTGATCAGTCGGTTCATTCTGAATTGACCCCCTGATTCCTGTCACACTGTCATTCACCCCGTTTTCTCTGCCTATTCCCATGCTCCTTCCTTACTTCCCCAACTGCCTCCCCCAATTGCATTTTATGGCAGGATTCCAGAGAAGAGGCATATGCTGAAGATGGCAATCCTGATAGAAAGCAGGATCAAATGTATTTAGCACTTTAATGCATATCTGGGATCTGAGATGATTTCAATGGGAAACAAAATTAAAGACGCTTAAGAATGTATACTATACTCACACGCCCTTCTCCCCACAAATATTGGCTCATGTTTGATCTTAGCTTTCCATACTTTTTCATTGTGGTCCTTAAGATGTGACTTTAAATTCAGTGTAACCTTTTAGCTTATACAGATTGTACTTTTCTGTTCTGTAAAATATATTTCGAATTCACTGCCACTATTTAAAATCAATTTGTACATATGTGATCTGCTTTTCCAAAATATTATAATACTATTCTCACTTATCTCTGGTGACAATGTAGACTGAGCATATTAAATCAAATTTCTGACACATTTATCTACAGTAAAGCAAAAATAACAAATGCATTTATAAAAAATATAAAAGATGATGTGACTGCTAAGAAGTAACTTCACTAACAACAAGTGAATCCTTATATTTTAACACTTTTCTACCAGTTGGCTAATAATACCTTTCCTGAGAAATGTATTATTTCTTCAGCTCTCTATTTAGCTTTTGGTATTCATTTTAATTTCTTTCTTTCTTTTTTCTTCTTCTTTTTGAAAACATCTATTTACTTCAACTTTCTCATGCCAGATCTGAGGATTTTTTTAAAAATCTCTCAATTTTCTAAAATAGTCAATTTCTTTTTATCCCCTTCCATAGAGGTTTTTTTTTCCCCAATATAGCTCCCAGTTTATTAAAATTTCATGCTAAGGTCATACAGAAGTTAACTCTTCTGGGCAAACAGAATGTTTTCTTACCTATCTATAAGGTAAAGGTTCCCCTTACACATAGGTGCTAGTCGTTTCCAGCTCTAGAGGGTGGTGTTCAAGCCAAAGAGCCAGTGCTGTCCAAAGACGTCTCTGTGGTCATGTGGCTGGCATGACTAAATGGCGAACGTGCACGGAACACTGTTACCTTCCCACCAAAGTAGTCCCTATTTTTCTACTTGCATTTTTAAAAGCTTTTGAATTGCTAGGTTGGCAGAAGCTGGGACAAGTAATGGGAGCTCACTCTGTTACATGGCACTAAGGATTCAAACCACCGAACTGCTGACCTTTCTGATCAACAAGTTCAGCATCTTAGCCACTGAGCCACCACGTCCCTTTGAGCCATCTCATCCCTATCTATACATTCAGCTAAATCATCATGGCCTTTTCCTTTTTCTTGTCATTTTCCCGTAATGTGCATACATTTATAAGCCTGAAAACAAATGTTGCCTTTAAATACTTAACAATGGTATGCATAGTACTGTCATATGTAATGCATATTACATAATCATATTCCTCTATTAGTTACCCTCATATGTTATTTGTTTCTTAGATGTATTGTATATCCACCTCTCTTCCATGAGTTCAAGATAGCACACACAGTACTTTATTCTCTAATATTTCCCTACAATAATTTTGTGACATAAGTTGGGCCAATGGAAAATGAATGGTACCAAATAATCATGGCTAAGAATTTGAACTGAGATTTCTTCCCAGCACATCCCTGTAATACTATACTCAAATTGAAATAGTGTTATCACCACTGTTTCATACAAACAAACAGAGAAATCCCAAGAAGTCAATTTCTTGGACCTTTGTGCCCTTATAGGAACTTAAGGCTCTTTTAATAGATTTGTCAGGTGACTGATGATAATATTGCCAGGGTAGGGAATGCTTTCCTAGGTAGGGAACGGTTGATAATCTCAAAGCTTTGAGAAAAATGATGCAGTGTTTCCTTCTTGAAATTCCACAAA